CGGGGGGGTGCCAGGCTGGGAAAAACCCCAGACATGCCCTACCACTCACCAAAACCAAGCAGGAGGCAACACAGTATATCACCTTAAGAGATAAGCCTACCTTTGATTTAATCTACATCCTCTGAGCTCAAAATTACCCTTCTCTCAGCTGCATGCTGGTTAATGCAGCCACTAGAGGACAGCCTCGTCCTGAACAAGCAAGCTGTGCTTGGGCCTGGGTTATCCTTCTGCTTGTGATATGGAAAATTAATCTCTGCTACATGGAGACAACACTCCCTGGACAGCCAGTGTCCTCCTCCACCCAGGCTCCACCCCATTCTGAACCGCATCTCCGCAGAGGACTTTTCAACATGACACAGAAAGACCTCATGCCTCTGGCCCGTAAGGCACGTTCTGGAAGGTACTAAGCACCCTCCCAAGTCCTGAAGGTAACAAAAGCCTGAATGCACAGCCCTTCCCAGGATGAGGCTCTTAGAAAGTCTCCTCAACCCGTAATAGACTGAGTCACCTCAAAGTTGTTTTCCCATGGCCTTTCCTGACCCTGAGCAATCACTGTTCTGGTCTCATCTCCAGCTGGGAAGATGTCAAACACCTTCAACTAAAGTCAGCAAGACTCTACATGATCAGTGCCTCTGGAAACTAAGACAGCTGAACCTCCCAGGTTTGCAGAAAACCAGTCCGATTTTCCCAGCTGAGCTATTACACTACAGAGAAAAGCTGTTTGCCTCTCATCCTTCCTGTGTCTGTTGCTCCCCAGGTGTCCTCTGGGAGTTCTTACCCCAGCTTTGTAGGGGTCTGGGGGCCAAGGGGCTCAGTTCTTCCTACCTCAGGACACGTGGCTTGCCTCTGGTTTGGGGTCACAATCAGATTCGTCATGACAAAGAAGACGCTTTCACCCTAGAATAAAGCAAAGCAGGAAGAGTTAGAACACCTGTTTTATTCTTAAAGTCTGCAGTGGCGAGAAGTGGTTTCCTGGAAGAGAAGGGTTTGTTAGCTGGTTTGCATTCGTATCCTGCCCATGTGTTTAAACTGGAATGGCCACCTCACAAAAGGCGAGGGTTTCATGCCGTGGTTCATGCCACTTCCCCCACTGCCAGCAAGGAGTCAGTGAGGAGCGTGCAGGTTGAGGAGAAGTCCTGAGAGCTGGAAACAGGCCTGGGACAGCCAGAGAGCCAAGCAGGCGGAGCAGAGGGCCAGTCCTGCCAGGGGGCCATGCAGAGCTCCCTCCTGCACTGGAACAGCCAACATTCAAGCAAGCATTCAAGCAGAGGGAACCTAGAAACTGCCCTGAGTAACACACAAGCCAAGCAACTCAACCTCAGAAACAGCACAGGATGGCCACGTACTTGGGCTTTGATCTTTTCTCCACTGGGCACCAGGCCAGTATCTCGCAAGTCCCTCTGGTGCCGTTCCTCTCTTGCAAACAACGGCCAGTCTTAACCCCTGCAAGCAGAGGTGTCACAGAAAAGGTCACACAGATCAGCCACCTCCTCTCCTTGCCTACAGGGCACATGAAAATCAGATCCTTTTCCCCACCACCCTAAGCTCTCCCCCCTGCTGTGAAAGGACCCCCCTCAGCTGGAACAACCACTCTTGTTGCTTCTCTGAGCAGCCCAGGGTGCTTTGGCCCAGACGCCACAGAGCTGTAAGCAACGCAGCAATCTTAATAAAAGAAAGTCCTTGCTGCTGTCTGTCATCAGAAATGTCTGGGGTTGTAACCAGGCTGATGCCCCTGAAGGAACCTGCCTCTACCAGAAACAGTACAGGAGGAGACCCTTCCCTTACCATTGCCAGCCACCACTGCTTCACCTGCCGGGCAGTCACCGTCCTTGTAACACAGGGCATCAGGAATGCTGACACTCTGCAAAGTGAAAGAGGACAGAAGTGAGACCTATGACAGGACACGAGACTCAGAGGAGTAAGAAAGCACTGATGATGTGGGGTGAATTCTCTATAGGGTGGTGAACAGTGAAAACATGCAGCTGAAGTGGTAACTGCAGGTCGTGTGCAAACAGCTTCACAGTATCACACCACCAGCAACACGACGGTTCAGCTACAACATCCTGCTTTTGGGGTCTGCTCAGTCTGGAGAGGGCCAGGCTGTGGAAAAACCCAGACATGACCTACCACTCACCAAAACCAAGCAGGAGGCAACACAGTATATCACCTTAAGAGATAAGCCTACCTTTGATTTAATCTACATCCTCTGAGCTCAAAATTACCCTTCTCTCAGCTGCATGCTGGTTAATGCAGCCACTAGAGGACAGCCTCGTCCTGAACAAGCAAGCTGTGCTTGGGCCTGGGTTATCCTTCTGCTTGTGATATGGAAAATTAATCTCTGCTACATGGAGACAACACTCCCTGGACAGCCAGTGTCCTCCTCCACCCAGGCTCCACCCCATTCTGAACCGCATCTCCGCAGAGGACTTTTCAACATGACACAGAAAGACCTCATGCCTCTGGCCCGTAAGGCACGTTCTGGAAGGTACTAAGCACCCTCCCAAGTCCTGAAGGTAACAAAAGCCTGAATGCACAGCCCTTCCCAGGATGAGGCTCTTAGAAAGTCTCCTCAACCCGTAATAGACTGAGTCACCTCAAAGTTGTTTTCCCATGGCCTTTCCTGACCCTGAGCAATCACTGTTCTGGTCTCATCTCCAGCTGGGAAGATGTCAAACACCTTCAACTAAAGTCAGCAAGACTCTACATGATCAGTGCCTCTGGAAACTAAGACAGCTGAACCTCCCAGGTTTGCAGAAAACCAGTCCGATTTTCCCAGCTGAGCTATTACACTACAGAGAAAAGCTGTTTGCCTCTCATCCTTCCTGTGTCTGTTGCTCCCCAGGTGTCCTCTGGGAGTTCTTACCCCAGCTTTGTAGGGGTCTGGGGGCCAAGGGGCTCAGTTCTTCCTACCTCAGGACACGTGGCTTGCCTCTGGTTTGGGGTCACAATCAGATTCGTCATGACAAAGAAGACGCTTTCACCCTAGAATAAAGCAAAGCAGGAAGAGTTAGAACACCTGTTTTATTCTTAAAGTACCTGTTACAAGGAGGATGCGGTTCTCTGCAGGACAGCAACACCTCCCTCTCCCCTAGTGCTTTTCAGGCTGAGATACGACAGTGCCCTTTGTCTGGATATTTGTTTGGATGAGGTTGGCAGGTCCCTATGGCTTTTGGGGTTCTGTTTCAGAGACCGCGTTAATTCGGTGAGCAGGACTGGCTGAGCCTTGCCTCGCTAGCTGCTCAGCAAGCGCTTGTCCTCCTTTCCCATAAGGACACAGTGCCTGATCAGGGATCAAAGGCCCCATTCCTCCGCAGAGCTGTGGGTGCTTATTCTTGGCCAGGGTCAGGCTGGTCCCCCCAGCTGCTCTGCTACAAGCCTGAGCTCAGGGAGCAAGGCAGCAGGGCACAGCATAGGAGCAGATTTAGTGCAAGACCATGGACATGCGTTAAAACAAAACAGAGCACTTCTGGCATGGCTGTAATAGAGAGAACACAGATCCCTTTACAAAGCCATTGGCGTGACTGTCTGAGACATGCAAGCAGAGACTTGACTGCAATTTCATCCCTAAAATCCTTATTTCTGGCAATGTAGTGTTTCCTCTGTATTTGGGCAAAGCCACAATATACATGGCTGACTCCTGTTCTGGAGCTTGCCTTTCTTTGCACATTTACAGCTTCTATTTGGTCCCTTCCCCACATTCAGCAAAAAGTTATAGTTAACTGCTCCCTGTAACAACCAACACCAAATGAAACCACAGGAAAAAACAAGCCTGAAGACAGTTTAAAGTCAGCAAGAGGGGAGAGAAAGCAGCTTACCACAGCACTACAGATGGAGGCTTTGCCACTCGGAAGTGAAACGAATGCTGAAATAAACCCTGTGCTTCTACCATTTCTGCTCCATACCATGCACATGTGGGAGAGGGAGAAGGGTCAGCACCAGGCTGCAGCTACAGGAACACCAGTTGTCTCCCAATAGCCCCCAGTACTGGGGAGCCTGACCCTCACCACGCCGAGCCGAGGGGGCATGCAAAACCATTAGAGCTGGCCCACAGTCCTGGCCTGAGGCAGGGCAGCCCCGAGCATCTCAGACAAAAAAATCCTCGCCCACGACAGGAACCAGCGGTGTGTCAAGCCTTGCTACCTGTAACACCAGTTGCTTGTGTGAGTGAGCACCTGGTGATAAAATACCTGATCGGGAGCAAACTCTGGACCCCCAACCCTACAAAGGCTGCTCTGGACCACAGCAGGTAACAAGACATTTCTGCAAACGTGTCAGAGGACAAGCCCCAGAAAGCAATGGGTGAAGGATTCACCAGGTGAATCATTGCACTGCATTAAGCTTAACCCCAAAGCGCCACTGGTTCACCCTGCCTGAGGGCATTTTCAGTCCTCAGAGAGAACTTCAGTACACTGAGTGCCTGCCGTTTATTCTGGAGTCTCTCAGAAAACCCCTTCCAACACACAGCCCTGCCCGTTGCACATAAAATCGGAGATCTCGGGTTTCTGTCCCCGAGAGCAGAGCTCGGTGCTCTCACACTCGCCTGGCTCGCTCTCCTTCCCTCGCTGTGCTTTGTGTGGGGTGCATTTACCCCACGTATTGTAGACCGATTGCCCAGTCATGTTTGGCTTATTCCTGCCACAGCCCAGACATCTGCGATGCAGAGCACACCAGCCCAGAGGCAACTATCTTCACTCAGCACACCGCTCTACAATAAGCCAACAAGCAGTAACAAGAACATTGAGTCATGGGAGAAACGCCTGACAAATTAAAATACTGGTCAGCATCAGCACCTCATTCCTGGGGGTGCACCCCAGACACCTGCTAAGCGTCCCTGGGCTCCCACACAGCTCGAACAAGAGGCACCACGAGCACGCTGCCTGGCCTTCCTGCTCCACAGCACACGGTGGTTTGAGACTGACAGCTTGAAGGGAGGCTTTGCATCGAAACCGATGGAGATGCAGAGCACAGATCCACAGGTCTGAGAAAACATGGGCTGCAGCAGGAGGAAGGTGAAGTTTTGTTCTTATGTACAGCCAAGTAAATTGTTCAATCGACAGCTTTCTGCCCCCCGTCAGCACAGGACTCTGACTTTCCCCTCACACCTTTCCACACACATGTGGTAGACACCAGGAGGGAAAGCACAAACAGCCGCTGGCAAGCACAGCTGGGCAATTTCCAGCCTGGTGCCAGGCCACATCTGCTGCCACCTTTTCTCCTTCAGCATCAGTTGTGCACCTCACTTTGTTCAAGGCAAGGAAGCAGCAAGGCAGGTTTAGCCAGACACATTTCAAGCAACCCTCATCACTCAAATTGCACCACACTTTCTTTCCATCTCCCACCACCTCTGGGCTGCCCCGTGCATGCCTGCTCTAGCCCGGGGAAGGAGGCAAGCAGACACTTTGCTCAGCTGAGCAGTCCCACTGAAGCCCACGGGACATCTACTTGCAAAGTTCTGCTTGCCAAGTATCACAGACCTTTGCATGATAGACAAGGCTGCTTTGACATTTGCTGGAAAGACCCAAGAGAAGGCACAGCATTGCTTTCTTGTAGCCCACTTCCTACTTATTCCTGGGAAAGACCTGGATACATCACTGCAGCCTTTCCCCCAGCAGCCATGCTGGAAGATGTCTTTCTAGCTGAGCAGCAGAGACAATAGCAGCGGGGTGATACCAACCTGTGGAGGGATGACATAGTCTGCAACATCCCACAGCCTCTCCCCCAGCTCCGAGGTGTTGGTGAAGGCTACCCCTTTCAGCTTGGTGATGACGGAGCTCTGGAGGGATGTGTCGGTGTCCTGGTAGCCTTTCTTGACAAGAAACACCCACCTGCGAAGAACACAGTGGGTAGCAGCATTAGCAAGTGGGGTCAGGGAAGAAGTTAGCCAGAGGAGATTTACACCAAGGCCAAACACCATTCAAGGGCAAATCAAAGCATCCCAACGACACCAAACCCTCTGCAACTACTACTACAAATTTAGAATAAACTCTTTGACACAAGCTGTGCTTATCTACAGCGCTGGAGGAAGAGTCAGGACCGAGACCCCACACGCAGGGAGAGGTGTAATAAGTGGTCACGGTGTAAAAACCCAAGCCTCCCGCCTCCTTGTCCTGTGCTGTGCTCAGCAACGTCGACGGAAAGAGGGGAGGGCAGGGCTCTGTTTGCCTCAAGATGAAAAATAAGAAAAGCTTTTGCAAGGTGCAGGGAAGAGTATGGCTGGTCTCCCAAATACATGACTCTCTCCCATTTTAGCAGCAACAGACCATGGCTGGGGAGGTGCAAATCCTGCAGGTGAGCTGAATATGACTAACAGAAACCTGTAGGGAATATTCTCAGCTGGATACAGGATCTTTTGTAAGCCAGTGTGATGGTAACAACCTGACTGCACCCTGGCCTCTGTGCTGGGCTTCAGGCTTCTCACTAGCACCCCTGGGAGAGCTGCTGCCTCGCTAAGCAGCCCAGGGAAAGGCTTTGCTTACTTCTCCCCACTGGAAGCAGCAAAAGCTCCGTAACACTGGGTGAAAACCTATCATCTGGCTTAAATGAAATGCTTCCAGCTTCCCCATAATACCGCCAAAGTCACCTGCCAAGACAACAAATCACCCAGACCCTTGAAGAAGCCAAGGGTGCCGGGGCAGGTTTTAGGGGAGGGAGGCAGGCTGCGTTTGCTGGCACAGCTCCCCTTTGCAGCGCACTGACCTGGAGCGCACTGCTGCACGCAGAAAGCGAAAGCAGCCATCTCTGGGGCTGAGCAGCACTGGCATATGCTGCCCTTCACCTCTGCCTGTGACAAACCTGAATAATAAAATTCCCCACCCCTGTGAAGTTTCCTACTCTCCTGTTTTTCCTAGGACACTGGTTTTCTCTCCCAGGAGGGCTCAAAAGCAGAGCCTTATATTTTCCACAGAGAATCAGGGAGGAAACAGCAGCTGCATGCAAGAAACGATCCAGAAGGGTTTGATGATCACAGCCCCTGAGCCAGCCTCTGAAGGGGCGAGCAGTCAAGCAGTCAGACATCAGGCTAACGCTAGCCACCTCTGCGATAAGCCGTAAGCCACCTCTGCAATGAGCCCTAAGCCCCCAGCCACACAGGAGCCACTGCAGGCACCATCAGTGATGGCACCAAAGGTTTGCAGAAGGCAGTAGATGCCTGGGGAAGAAAACAACCAGTGTGGCCCAGTCTCTGAACACTCATGGTCGCTGGTCACGCTATATCCCTCTTGGACGGAGGATGTGTCCTCAGCAACATTATCTACAGGATTCCTCCTTTAACAACTAATATATGCCAGACTGCTGGGACTTCATCTCCGCCCTGCTAACTAAAGCAGGCGCTGGAACTGTACACCTTTCTATAAATAAACCCAGCATGTAAAAATGACTCTGCTATATTTAATCAGTGAAAACACGAGGTGCAAGAAAGGTGAAGGGACTCAGGAGCCCAGACAGTGAGGGTAAAGATCTATGAATCACATTCTGAAAAGCCTCGGAAGCTCAGGAAGCAACTGCACAGGTATCACATGGATAATTCCAGGTCTGAGCCTGCAAGCTGCAAGGAGTATTGCTGTGTTCCTTACATGTCAGTGTGACCAGCTTCTTGCAGAACTTGCCCTTTTCTGAGAAGTGCTCTAGCTATCTCCACGCCAACTCGCCCTGCTCTGAAATAAATGCAAGGCAGCCAAAGCCCACGCTGCCTCAGCCTCCACAATCCCGGCTGCTGCAGCCCACTCCAGCAAAGAAATCTGCCACTTTGTGCTTAGTTCCCTCCCCTTCAGACCTGAGCATGTCATGCCACCCTGCAGGCAAGCCCGGTTTGTCCCCAGGCTCAGCAACCATGGCCATAAATGCTATTGTTTCTAATGAGTCAGGTGTTAAGGTTTGGCACCATTCCCACCAAATACAGAAATAAAGGCGTAAATAATGCAGTACAAAGCCATAGTGCCATTTGATCTATTTTTAACCCGATGTTAATCTAGAAGGTAGAGCTGAATCGAGCAGGAGAAAAATCAGATAAAAATCTCCGAGACATTAGAAAATCCAGCTGTATAAACAAGCATAACTATCTGCATTAAAATCATAAGACATAGCAAGCTGTCATGTATGCAGAGCATCCTGCGTTAATCTTCATCACAACACAGCAAGCAAACACAACCGCAGCAGTATGTGAAACGCAGGGCGATTCTTACCCCACCAGGTAAGCCAGGATGGAGAGCTGCACCACTCGATAGAGAATCCCCACCTTCTTGTTCTTCGCAATGACGTATTTTTCTGTTTTATAATCAAAAAGTGATAAAAATAAACCCTTCCAAGCCACCTGCCCCATGCTCCCGGCTCGCTCTGTACCGGTGGCTGGAGCAGGCAGCAGCGTTTGCAGCTCGCATTATCCACACGTGCTCTGCATGGGAACCTGACACAGCAACCCCTTGAGAGCGAGAGGCTGATCTCCTCCCTCCCCTCAGCTGCACGCCGCCAGCAGCTCTGGGCTGGAAACCGGCAGCTGCACTAACACGGGGTCCTTCCTCAGCTGCTTTCCAGCTAATTCATCCTCTGGGGAAGCCCCCATCTCAGTTTTGCCCTCCAACTTCATTCTCTGTCCCACAGTCACAAAATGCTTATAATGAAACATGTTATAGCATGAAGCCGTGTTACAGCATCCAAGGTGACAGAGCTGTAGCCACTGTTAAATATTAAAGCCTTTCTTCAGCCTTTACATGATGGCAAAGCACCTGGTTAAATTTTTAATTTCTTGAGTATTTGCATAAGCAATGAGAACTCAGGTCCTCACCAGTTACCCAAAATACCTGCCTGGTTACTGCATCTTCCCACAAAAAAAACCCCAACAACCTAAGAAAGTAATAAATAAATTCTGCATGTGGCTAAGGGATCAATCACCATCACATCTCACTAAAATGCACGGTGGGTGCTGAGCTGGGCACATATAGATACAGAACATACCATCTGGTGAAATACCAAAGGGAGAGGAACAGTTTAACCCTCACTGAGATAAGAGTCGATTACTAGCCAGCAGCACGAGAGGTGACTCCCAGCCTAACGGGCATTTGCGTGTGCAAGGACATGCAGCCATCATTACTTAAACCGAGAAGGGTGGACACGGCTTCCCAGCTAAGGAGGGAACGGAACGAGCTCTGAGGGGGAAAATGAAGTCGGCCAGGACCTTCCAGCAGCCTGGCTAAAAGCGGTAACGTACCTCACCAAGAGGAGATCCAGCAGCAAGCGTGCGCTTTCCGGGGGCATCCCATTCCTGTGCCCTGACAGGAGATCTCTACCCGGGCAGCTCTTCTGGGATGGGACTGCTCATAGGCTGAATCTGTCAGTCTATCAGAGACATGAGGTGGTGTATCAGGCATAAGGTGTGGGGTTTGCTCTGTCCGTGTGTGAGCACCCAATTAGCTCCCACCTAAGCACCAAATTAGCTCTCACCTGAGCACCCAATTAGCTCCCACCTGAGCACCCAATTAGCTCCTGGAGCTTTGTCAGGACCGGGAAGGCTCTTGAGATTACACAGTATGCAACCGTGATAGACGCTTGAACAGAGGTCAAGAGAGCGGTCACGCTACGGGGGCAGCACAGGTGATCTGCTCCAGCACACACACCCCTGCCCTACGCAACTCTTCCCAGGGAGAATCATTCTCAAGACCTCGGGTTTTATGAAAATTTTATCCTTCATCCTCCTTAAATTCCATATCAAATTTAAATGGATGGATCAGATTTTTAATGAATATGTGACAAGGTTGCTCCAAATCACAAAAGAATCACAAACAGTGTAATAACGAACAAAACACTATCCTCAAAATACCTTATTTTGTCCCTCATCCCACAGCCATCCCTAGAGTTTCCTTCTGCAAAGCGAAGGAAACCTTTCTTGAGCAACTGCAGAACTAGAACAGAAATGTGCCCGTGGCCTCCTTTTAACCCAGCGGCTGCTGCGCTCCCCGAGTCCAGCCCCACGGAGGTCGATTGATTCAGCGTGGGGCTCTTTCATGAGGGACTCCTGGGGCTCCCCCCACTCCCACACACCCCCAGTCGCTCCTCTGGCTCGGGGTTAGCCCCGGCCCTGCTTCCAAACTTTGCAGCTGCCCTTCAGCCTCAGCGCAAGCCAAGGGCTGGCCTTGCTCACCTCTGCCTCTCCCCATGTCCCCTCCGGGTTAGG